AAGATACACATCTGGGGATTAATTTCACGAAAGAGGCAGATACACTATACACATTAAGTCGTTAATTGAAAAATATCAACTCATACCTGGAAAACTACTCCAAACGAACCAGTTCCCACAACACGTTCTGCCATGTATGTAATGGTCTAAATAAATTGTAACGAAAAGTTTAACCTCCTAGCAGATTAAAAAACAATTTCAAATAAATCACGATGTAGAAGATGAGAAACCAACCCTTTTGGGTTCACCGTTTTGTCCGCCAATTGTGGTGGAAATAATGTGACCAGTGACTGTGTCATTCCCTTCAACTATAGCGGCGGACATTCCCTACGATTCAGACAAAACCAAAGATCAATGTAAATAGATTAGAACGCTCAACAGATCTTTTAACAGTCATCAAAGATCTGAAGTAGTTCAGTGGCAGGATTCAGGAATTCATCACTTGGGTAATCCAAAAAGGTATAAGGACATGCACTTGTTCCGGCAGAGAGAGAGACAGAGAGAACAATTTTTCAATGCATTAAAAAGCTTAAACTGGTGTCACATGTGACAAAGCTTGCAATCTAGAGACTGTATAAGGACCAACAACAGTAGGCAATTGTATGGTGTAAACTCCATAATAAATTGAAGGCCAATTTCGCTGAAGTTCAAGAAATTGGCTAAGAGCTTACAAGAACTTTGACAAACGTCATCATTTACGATAATCACAGCCCAACAGAACTGAAAGGCACAAAAAGATCAATGACAACTTAAGGGATCTCCCATGGATGCAAAGCCTACATGTTTACTTTATAAGGAATAAGTTTTCGATTATAAACATGTAAAAGTCTTACCCCAGTTATAAATGGGTAGCATCAAATTAAGTACAGGCTACAGCTCATAGGTTTTGTAAATCCAACTAATTACAACCTGGATATAGTTAGCCTTGAGAGCATGATACACATATATGGAAAAGTCCAGAAACAGATTTTTAACGCCTGCCAGCTATCTGTAGAGCTAAAGATTTGTTCTCCACTAAAGTGAAATCAAGTTGAAGGACATAAATCTAGGGCAAAAGAACAGCTTGATGCTCGCTCGAGCTATCTCTAAGATCACATCGCGTGAATCTCCTTAGCTCATACTCCGCCACGCACTCAAGCTCCTCCAATCTCCAGCACTCGAAGGCCGAACACATCGGAAGCCTCCCAGCTAGATCGAAGCGAAATCCTAGCTCGCTAAAAGAGACAATACGAAAGGGGGGAAATCCAGAGAATGTCGCTAGGTATTTTGCTCTATCGCTCAGGAGTATACCTAAATATGATTAGGGAATAGTCCAATACCTTATCCGTCTCCATCTCCGACCGTTGAGCAGTGGCGGCCGAGAGGTGCCTCGCCGCTATTGCTCCGCCTTGGTCATGGTGGTGCGGTAAATGGTGGTTGTCCAGAGTCCCCGTCGGCAAAGATGCCATGCGATGGTGGCTCTCTCTCTCTCTCTCTCTTTCCTGGTCTTCTCTCTCCCCTCTCTCCTCTCTACTTTTTGCTCTCTCTATCTCTCTCTAACTCATTCTAAAGTTCACCCTCATGAAGTACAGTGGAGGTCTCTATTTACAAAATAACTTTCGTCCGAATTTTTTTTCTTCGTCATTCGCCAATCTGATACGTACCAGAAATATTTGGCCTCCAGATATTTGCTCGTTTTAATTAATAAAATAAGGAGTATTTTATAGAAGTTTTTATATAGTTTTAATGTATATAAATTTCTTTTATTCCAATTTACTCCCTCCGTCCCGGACTATTCGTCCAGTTTTGACTTTTGGAACTGTTCATCTAAGTACTTTGACTCATCAAATTCTCTCAATGTGTAAGTCTAAATATAGTCATGTGTGATCTTGTTTGATTTGTCTTGACATATAGATTATTATATAATTTCTATAATTTTTTAATATACAAATTACAAGATAAAATGGATTAAAGAAGTGTATTGGATGGTGTGTAAAAATGAAAGTGGACAAATACTCTGGGACGGAGGTAGTATAAACGAAATGATTTTTAAAAGAGATGTGATCAGTAAATTCTATGTATGTTATCGAGTAAATTTCATAAATGATAACTAGTTACAAATAGTTTTCCATATTTTGTCTTAAACTCTAAGTTATTACATAAATGAGCATCAATTTTTTAAAAGTATCCCATAATTGGTCTTTTTCTAACTATAAATGGAAAAAATATTTTGTCATGTTTGACCTAAATGATTATCTATGAAATAGTTTTTTAAAATTAGAGATCATTTATAGAATATCTTAAAATCACAGACTAAATATAAAAAATCACTTGTAATTAGGGATCAATTATAGAATTCATTCTAATATGTACTATAAAAATATGATATTTTAAAATTAAATATCAAAAGTAATCTATTGATATGAAAGTTATATCATAACTCAATTTTTTTTGTAATTTGTGATTAAAGTTTGAAAGAGATGATCACAAAGCAAAATTGAAAGAAATATATAAAAAAGAGGGATGGCATCTTGAAATCAAATGTATGACAATTTTTTCATTGGATATCTATCAAATATATAAAATGGACATTTCTAGTTCCCTCATATTTATAGTACATATTTGGTTGGGAACACTAAAAAAAGTAGCTGCGAAAGTCATCGCTCAATTGGGACACCTAGAGTGATTCGTTCTCAAAATTGTTAGTTCCTACCCCCACTACCCGAACCCCCCACCCAGTCCTGATCCAACTCATCCTCAAACACGTCAATTGCAAGGTGTAAGTTTAGTTGATTTTGGACTAAACTTGCACCTCGCAATTGACGTGGTTGGGGGATGAGTTGGGGTCAGCCGGTCAGGACCGAGTGGGGGATTTACCGGGATATTAGAGGGGATCAATTTTGCGAGCGGAGCACCGTAGATGTTCCAATTGGATGAGTGGCTTTCGTAGCCACTCTTTTTGAGTGGCTCTAGAACCGAGTCGATCTATATTTAGGGGTACTTAATAATACAATATTTATATTTAAAACGAAACATTATTGTCCTTCATTTCGAATTATTTTTTGTGGTCCTCTTTATTTAAAAAGGAAATTGCTCTAAATAGGAGTGAAATATAAAGAAATTTATCAAAATAGAAGCTCCATATTATTATGGGAAAAAACCTAAATAGTACTAAAAATAGAAAATATACCTAAATAGGAGTAACTTTGCATCACATGAGTTTTTATAGAATACTTTTCAGATATAATGGATCGTATAGATTATAGTTTGACAAAAGACAGTGTTGTTGAGGTGCAAACTCCATCTCACGCCGGAAGTGGGGAAAAAGAATAACCTAAATGAATGTGGTTATCCAACCTCATTAGTATGATGCCCTTTGTGAGGTGTCAAAAATAAATCCCTGAGGACTTGGCCCAGAACGAAGAGACATGTATCTTTTCAAACTTCATCCTCATCGTCAGAGCGAGGGTCTTAGAAGTTGGCTTTCCAAAGCCAGGTCCTTTTTGTCAATATGGAAAATGTTAGGGGTACATCAAAGGTGTATCCCATTTGTCCCCCACCCCCTCCATTACCACTCAAATAGGCAAGAAAATTAAAAAAATAAGTAAATAAAAATAAAAAATAAATGAGTGATTATAGAGGGGATGTTGTACAAATGGGGTACACCTTTCCCTAGCATCTCCCTGTCAATATTTGTGTTAAGGGACCGGATTCATAATCAAGTATTCAAGTTGTGTGTGCTAGAACGGCGAACCTGGCTAGATGGCCCTAAACACCGTTGCATCTCTTCAAGCTCAACGGTAAAAAGATATAGGACTTGAGTGGCTCCCAAGTGTCCATTTAAATTTTAGGCATTTATTGTTTGGTGAAGTGAAAGAGTCGAAGAATATTCTCGCATAGGCAATAGTAAGAAATTTTAGATGATGAAGTTCTTCCAAATGAGGAAACCGGTCTTAAATTTGTTCCTTCTTGATTTCTAAATTAATGCAATTTTTTGACAGACACAAAAACTAGACTTGTGATGGTGTTATTGGGCTGGGTTAAGATTTTATAATGCAACAATAGACATTAGGCCCAATGTACACTTACACCCATGAGTTGGAGCCCGAGCACATAGCCCAGACCTAGGTAAAGACCCATGAGCAAAATGGGCGGGTCAACCCGTGTATAAAATTGAAGAGCCGTGTAATTGTAAAAAAAAAACAGGTGGAGATATCAATTTAATAATAAAAATAATCGATCAAACTACAGTCATATCAAATTTCACACCAATGTTTGACACCATATGCTTTATTGTTTTACAAGCATATAGAAAGAGTCATTACGTGAATGACACACAATCATTGTCTGAGCAAAAATACTAGAGACACCAAAAGGGTGACACCATTTTGATTACAAGCATTACACACACACAAATCGTAAAGGTTTGCGCATGCACAAACCCTTACAATCAGTCTGTGTGTCTGTATAATCACTATAATGCTTTGATGTCTCTCTAGCACAACCGTTGCCTATGCATGTAAAACAATATTGTTAAAATAGACTTGACCTCTCACAAATTCTAACTATGTATGCCTGCAAGCCAGGAAAAGACAAAGTAAAAAATTATTCACTGAAGCCATAACAGATTCAAAATTCTAAAAACTGTTTGTAAAATTAAATCACATAGTGAAAGCTCTATAATGAAATAAATTTGTAAAATCATATATCAAAATAATCAACAAAAGTAAAGGACCGATAGAGATTTCAAAACCAAAATCAGCTCTAACAGTTCATAGTAGAATGGGAAGAGGCTGCCATTGGATTATTGCATGTGCATTCTAGCGTGACGATCCGCCGCTATGGATAATGATTGTATCGACACCTGGAATGAGGGACCCATCTGCAAAATTGTTGTTAACTAAACATAAATTTTGTGATGAACAAACAAAACATTAAGGATGTTTGGCTTTCTCTCTAGGAAAGAGATACACTATGAGCCACATATTGCTTTCTTTAAAAGGAAATGAGGAAAGAGTGGAAAATTTAGAAAGCTCTATCACTTACAGAGCTGCATATATGGAACGTGTTCACATAACCTGCATACTTTGAACCTGCATTATCGAAAACAGATTATTAAATCAAGATTCAAATAAAAATGAAACACTTATGACCATTTTTAAAGAACAAGCTAAGAGTGTTTGGGGTAAGATATGTGTTTGTCACAATTCACATTTAAGTCCAGATAAGAATGACATTTGCTAGCATTGAGTGGCCGGAGTCATGGCCCATAAACATACACGCTCCATTCTTCGGTTGGTGTCACGGTTTTACCCTTGAAGAATAATTCGTCCCAATGGACCTCCCCATAGGTTATTGTGGATCGTGAGGGAAGAAGAAAGAGACGTATAAGGAGAAACATGGCCTTCTAGAGATTGGTAGTTGACATAAATATAAATTGTTACTCCCTCTGTCCATTATTTAGTTCCATGTTTGTCTTGGCACGCTTTTTAATGAAGCGCAAAATGGGTGGTTGAAATTTTTTTAAAGGATAGAATTATTAGGAACCACTGATTCTTTTCTTAAAAAGGAAAGTGGGTCAAAATTTAGGATGCCCCAAATATGAAATAAGGATTAATATAATGAAACGGAGTATGTTTTTAGTATGAGGATATTCCGGTCTTTACTCTCGAAAGAATTTTTTTCATTATCATTCCAAAGCAAACCAAATGCCATAATAAGTTGTCCTGATATATTTATTTTCACCAACGAAACAAATCAATATGAATTCCTTCTAGGATGATTTCTGATCCCCGTCCATTCTTCTCTCAAGGAATATATATTCATTTACTAACGAATTTTCAATCTTTCCAACCAAAGACGTTGCAAGTGAGAAAATTGGAAAAAGTATCTAAAACACTGTCTCAAACTAACACACTTAACTTGAGCTTATTTTAAAAACAGGAGTAACAAAGACACAATACAAAGCACTTACTTTTTTTCAAGCCAGCAGGTTTTGCAAGCAAAAGGGCATTCACAAATGCACCAACATTCTCACAGAGAGCCTCTTCTGCAAAACTCATCTGCAAGAATTGTTGGTTGAAAGTTAGCTATAAATGGGATCATTTAGGCATCCAAGCGCGAGGAAGACTATACGTATCATCACTGTGAATTCAGCATACCTTCCCAAGGCCAACATGCACGATGGCTGTTTTGTCTTTTTTGAAAAGAATGCCTTGATCTCTTGCTTCCTTCACTGCATTTGAAACATCTTTTGTAACGGTGCCTTTCTGCACAGTGCATCAGTAAATGAGAAAGAATCTAAAAAGAACTTAATTGATACGTAGAACATCAGAAAAACAACTCACTCTAGTGTCTGGCATCAACTGCCTCAAATACTTCGCAATCTGCCATATGAAAGAACAATCACAAAACAGAAGATTTAGCATCGTTTACATTGTTTCTCCAGTTTTTATTCTTTGTTCTGTTCTCTCTTTTGGGTATTTTCAACAGTAACTGGTATTGAAGGAGATGGTCATTCACTCATTGTATTTGCCATTGGTGATGGTGACAAGTTGCAAATTTGGAATAAAGTTTCCATTTTCAAAGCATACAAAATGGTTATATAAAAAAAGTGGAAAGATTTGCAAAACCTGTTTCAGATTTGGCATCATTGCATGAGTGGACAAACACTTATCAAAATCAATCTTCACACTGCCTGCATGAAT